CGCCACCATGCCCAGCTAATTTTTTGTAGTTTTAGTAGAGACGGGGTTTCACCATGTTGACCAGGATGGTCTTGATCTCTTGACCTCATGATCCGCCCGCCTTGGCCTCCCAAAGTGCTGGGATTACAGGCTTGAGCCACCGCGCCCGGCCAATTTTTGTATTTTTAATAGGATGGAGTTTCACCATGTGGGTCAGGCTGGTCTCGAACTCCTGACCTCAAATAATCTGCCTGCCTCAGCCTCCCAAAGTGCTGGGATTGTAGGTATGAGCCACCGTACTGGCTATCACTTGATTTTTAAGGTAACAATTGATACATACAAACGAATGTGGTTGGCTGCGCACAGTGGCTCACACCTGTAATCCTAGCACTATGGGAGGCTGAGGCGGGTAGATTGCCTGAGCTCAGGAGTTTGAGACCAGCCTGGGCAACATGGTGAAACCCCTTCTGTACTAAAATACAAAAAATTAGCCGGGCATGGCGGCGTGCACCTGTAATCCCAGCTACTCGGGAGGCTGAGACAGGAGAATCGCTTGAACCTGGGAGGCGGAGGTTGCAGTGAGCCAAGATCGCACCACTACACTCCAGCCTGGGCATCAGAGCTAGACTCCATCTCAAAAAACAAAACAAAACAAAAACAAAGTAATGTGATTGATACACGTGTGGGTTATAAAGCACATTAACAAAATGAACACCTGTGAACTCTACACAAAACTCAGAAAATAGAACATTATCAATATTTTAGAAGCTCTCTGTGTGCACTCACCTATCTTTCCACTTTCTTTATGGTGAATTTGAATGTAGTCATACCTACCCTTCTCTTCCTTTGAGCTTAGTAGTTATTACTCAAGAAATTCCTCCCTATCCTGAGGTCATAAAGATATTCTCCTATATATTCTTTTTTTTTTTCTTTTGAGATGGAGTTTCGCTCTTGTTACACATGCTGGAGTGCAATGGCGCAATCTTGGCTCACCGCAACCTCCGCCTCCTGGGTTCAGGCAATTCTCCTGCCTCAGCCTCCTGAGTAGCTGGGATTACAAGCACGCGGCACCATGCCCAGCTAATTTTTTTGTATTTTTAGTAGAGACGGGGTTTCACCATGTTGACCAGGATGGTCTCGATCTCTTGACCTCGTGATCCACCCGCCTCGGCCTCCCAAAGTGCTGGGATTATAGGCGTGAGCCACCGCGCCTGGCCTATATATTCTTCTAAAATTTCTAAAGTTTTGCCTTTCTCATTTTTTTTTTTTTTAAGATGGAGTCTCAATTTGTCGCCCAGGCTGGAGTGCAGTGGCATGATCTCAGCTCACTGCAACTTCCACCTCCCGGTTCAAGCGATTCTCCTGTCTCAGCCTCCTGAGTAGCTGGATTACAGGCGTACGCCATCATGCCAGGCTAATGTTTGTATTTTTAGTAGAGATGGGGTTTCACCATGTTGGTCAGGGTGGTCTTGAACTCCTGACCTTGGGATCCACCTGCCTTGGCCTCCCAAAGTGCTGGGATTACAGGCATGAGCCACTGCCTCATTTAGGTTTTTAATCTACTTGGAATTGCATTTTGTGTATGGTGTGATATAAGGATCCAATTTAATTCCCCCCCAAGTGCCATCTCAACTTTTTTTTATTTAAAAACTTATTTTAAATTTGTTTTAGATAGGGTCTCTCTCTGTTGCCCAGACTGGAATGCAGAGGTGTAATCATGGCTCACTGCAGCCTTGAACTCGTGGACTCAGAGGCTCTTCCTGCCCCAGCCTCCTGAGTAGCTGGGATTACAGGTGTGTGCCACCATGCCTGGCTAATTTTTAAAATTTTTTTGTAGAGATGGGGTTTTGCTATGTCACCCATGCTCACTATCTCATCTTTTAAAAGGGAACAGTATATCCCCATGGATTATATGAGATTGTTTTCCGTTAGCCACTTTATCCCCTTAGGCTGATTGTTTCTCCCAGCTGAACTTCATTTATGGCTCCCCTACTAGATTTCATCTACCAAGCTTCCTCCCTTTAATTATTTATTTTTGAGACAGGGTATTGCTCTGTTAACCAGGTGGGAGTGCAGTGGTGTGATCACTGCTCACTATAGCCTCAACCTCCCAGGCTCAAGCGATCCTCCTGCTTCCGCCTTCTGGGTAGACCACAGGTGAGAGCTGCTACACTCAGCTAATTTTTAAATTTTTAGTCGAGATAGGGTCTCACTATGTTGCCCATGCTGGCCTTGAACTGCTGGACTCAAGTGATCCTCCTGCCTTGGCCTGCCTCCCTCACCCTGGGATTACAGGTGTGAGCCACCATGCCCAGCCATTTTCTCACTTCCCTGGACTTGTCCTAAGTCTTTAGGACTCTTCCCATCCTTCAGACATAATATAAAAAAATAGTTGGGACAGGTGCAGTGGCTCACACTTGTAATCCCAGCACTTTGGAAGGCCGAGGCAGGCGGGTCACGAGGTCAGGAGTTCAAGACCAGCCTGGCCAACATAATGAAACCCTGTCTCTACTAAAAATACAATTAGCTGGGCGTGGTGGCACGCACCTGTAGTCCCAGCTGTTTGAGAGGCTGAGGCAAAAGAATTGCTTGAACTTGGGGGGCGGAGGTTGCACGGAGCCAAGATTGTGACACTGCACTTCAGCCTGGGCGACAGAGTGAGACTGTCTCAAAAAAAAAAAAAAAAAAAAAAGTTACAGTAATGATTATGGCAACCACCAGATCCTTTCCATGTTTAAATCTGAGAATGGCACCAACTTACCAACGGTTCCACCTGCCACCACAGTATAAGGTCACTGAAGGGGAAGATTCAGCAGACATTTTAAGCTTCTTGGATTGCTAAGGCCCTGGCCTTAGTAATGATAGAGAGCGGAGATGGAAGAGAGGTAAGGTAGCAGAGTGGTATAGAGCTGTGGGACTGGGATGGGGGAGAGGCATGGAGAGGTAGATGGAGGTCGAGAGCACTGGCTTAGGGACCCTGACTCCTGGGGGTTCACACAAAATACCTTTCTCAGTAAGGAATCCCGATTTTGAAGCTCCTAGGTTGGCTCTGCATGCAACTTTGTTCTTGGGTTACGGCGGCAGTTTCTGAACTCTGCTTGGTAGAACCGCAGGGGGCAGGGGATAGGGGTAGTATCTCAGGCCATAGCCTTCCCCATCCTGTATCCCTGTTGCCTGGGAGTAGCCCCAGCCCTATTCACACCCCATCCACCTTCGCATCCCGTCCCGCCTCCAATCCCACCCCACCATTAGCAAAGCCTGAGCTCATTTAACACTGAATACTCCGTTGGCCCCTCCTTCCCGTCCAGCCCTCTTTTTCCCCCAGGGTCCTTCCAACTCCCGACTCTGTCCTTGACCCAGCCTTGAAGTCTGGGCCAGGCTAAAGCCACAGCCGAGCTCCCACCTTCCTCTTGCCCTGAGGGGCATAATCCTGCTGTGACTTCTGTCTCAGCAAGCGTGGGACCAGGTCTTCCCCGCCTCCCTGAACCTCAAGAGCTGCTCTGACTCCGCCCAGCACCAACTCCTTTGGGTACTCCTTCCGCAGTACAATTGTTTGTTGTTGCCATGCAACAAGAAAGGGGGCGCGGCCACCACACACATTGTCAGCTCGCGCCTCAGAAACGCAACAATAAAACCTCGGCGTCAGAACGTAGCTCCCGCCCCTGGTGCCACTCCTGCCGGAAGCCAAAAATCACGTTAGGCCTGGACATAATATCGCGAGATTTGCCGGCCGCCCGGCCTGCACTGCGGCGTTTCCCGCGCGGACTACCTCAGTTCCCGGTCGTACGGCGCGGCCTGTCGTACTGCCGCCGGCGCAACGGCCGTCATGGGGTTCCTGAAACTGATTGAGATCGAGAACTTTAAGTCGTACAAGGGTCGACAGATTATCGGACCATTTCAGAGGTTCACCGCCATCATTGGACCAAATGGCTCTGGTGAGATAAACCTGGCTGCGGCCCTGCTTACGTCCCGGCCTGGACCCCTTATCCGGTGCTGGAGTAGTGCAACTCGGCCCATGTAACCTGAAACGTCGAGGACCCTTACGGGTTCCTTGCCCGTCCACAGGGGGTTCTGTTGGAACCCGCTGTCCCCGCGCGGCTGCTCTAACTCGAACCCCTTCCAGGTGTCACTTGCGGCTTCCTGCGCGGCCCCCGCCCTGGCCGAGTGGTACTGGCCGAGCTGCCCGTTACCCCGCCCACTTCCGTCTCCCGCCAAAGGAGGCGCGTCCGGAGCCAGCTGCCCGCCAGCTGCCAGTCCCCCGCCACGCGGCTCCCCGCTGGACCGGCCCGAGCCGGCCTCCCAGCCTTATTTGACCCTCTCCGGAAAGTGTGTGTGCAGGTCGTAGTTCTCCTGTGGCCTCCGGTCCCAAACGGTGCACTTCTGTTTCAGCCCAGCGTCCCCTGCTGCCTTGCATTGGTGTACTCCAACTCTTTCCTTTTTACTGCTCTCCCAAGGCGCCACTTTTGAATTTCAGACCCAGCGCTCCAGTCTTTATAGAGTGCTTGAGGTCTCGATCCCCACCCCCAACCGCTATATTAAAGGTAGTTGCCTCGAACTCGCCCCACCGAAACCGTCAAAAGCCGAAACTCATTGTTTTACCAAATTTGTTGAATGCTTATTGTTTATCAGGAGTTTTTCAATTTCAAGTTGTGGAGACAGCGGAGAATAGAATAAACCAAGTCCATGCTTACAGGGAACTTATATTCCAGAGGGGAAAGAAGATAAAGGAGAAAATAAGATGATTTTAGGCTATCGTAAGTGCTATGCAGGAAATGAGACAGGTGGATGTGATAAAGTGACTTGGGTGTTGTCTTTAGAAAAAGTGGTCAGGTAAAGCCTCTATTTTGTATCTTCCTATCTCCAAACGATACATCATGGATTTCTCTTATCTCACATGTTCATTTGGAATCTTGCTGTAGTCTTCCACCCCAGAGATGTTCTAGCTGATATCATAGCCTAAGAGGCTGCCCTTGCTGAAGTAGCACGTACTCAGTACCTTCCCTGGCGTCTCAATATCTCAACAGTGGCACTGTTGACATTTCCAGCCAGATAATCCTTTGCTGTGGGACATGCCCTGTGCATTGCAGATGTATAGCAGTATCCCTGGCGTCTACCTGCTAGATGACAGTAGCACCCCTACTCCCCAGGCATGACAATCAAAACTGTCTCCAGACGTTGCCAAATGTCGCAGGGGGTGAGTGTGACTCCCCCCAACCCCCAACTTGTTTGAGAACCACTGGCCTGGAGGACTAATGATCGGTGACCACCCAGTTTCCTAGGGTTTTGGTGTAGTGGCCCCTGTTGAAAGAGCTAGGTTGTATCTCTTGGCATTCAGTCCCCTCAGCATTAGATTTGTATTCTCAGCTGTTCTGAAAAGGGCCGTAGCACTTCCTCACCTGCCCCCTTTCTTCAAGGTCCACCTCTACAAGGCATTCCTTTAGTCCCTTTGCTGAATTACTCTTCTTCTGTGGCATACCGTAGACACTTGGCACACATTAATGTTTTAAGTCCTGTATTGATGGTGTCTGTTTTTATATCTTCATTGGTTTGTGAGTATCGTAAAGCAGACATTCCTTGAAAAATTTTACTGGTGTTCAGTCCATAATATGTATTATTAAAATGTTTACAAGATTGATTGTGATTAGAGAGGCCTGTGGTTGTGAGATGTTTTTGTCATCCCTGGAAATGATGGGAGAAGCCTAAAGGTTGGACATTGGTTCCTAAAAGGCTGACTCCTGGTCTGCATGATGTTCTAGTCCTGCTGTGATGAGGGAGACAAGAGCTGAGTCCAGACTTGTATTAGGATAGGACTCATTAATTAATTACCTACTGTTTGTGTCAAGTACTTTATTTTTTGGGACCCTTTTCTTTTTTTTTTTTCTTGAGATAGTCTCATTCTCTTGTCCAGGCTGGAGTGCAGTGGCGTGATCTTGGCTCACTGCAACCTCTGCCTCTTGGGTTCTAGGATTCTCGTGCCTCAGCCTCCCAAATAGCTGGGACTACAGGTGTGCACCACCACACCTGGGTAGTTTTTGTATTTTTAGTAGAGATGGTATTTTGCCCTGTTGGCCAGTGTGGTCTCAAACTCCTGGGCTCAAGTGATCTGCCCGCCTCAGCCTCCCAAAGTGCTGGGATTACAGGCATGAGCCACTGCTCCGAGCCAAGGGACCCTTTACATTTAAATTCTCAAAATGATCCTAGGAGGGAAATGCCAATAGCTTCGTTTTATACGTGAGGAGACTGTGGCACAGAGGTGTGATAACTTGTCCGTGGTTCTCAGAACCCATGCCTGTGCTCCTGCCGTTCCAACAGAGATGTATGTGCCACACATATTTTTAGACCTGTGAGTTGTGGTTTTTTCATTTTTTTCCAGGCGAGGGAATGGAAGGTCAGCTAAGAAGTAGTGAAAGTAAGGTTAGAATCTGGTCTGTTGGTTCTAAGCCCAAGCTTTTTTTTTTTCTTTTTTTTTTCGGAGACGGAGTCTCATTCTGTGGTCCACGCTGGAGTGCAGTGGTGGGATTTTTGACTTACTGCAGCCTCTGCCTCCCAGGTTCAAGCTATTCTCCTGCCTCAGCCTCTCAAGTAGCTGGGATCACAGATGTGTACCACCACCCTGGCTAATTTTTGCAGTTTTGGTGGCGATAGGGTTTCACCATGTTGGCCAGGCTGGTCTTGGACTCGTGACCTCAAGTGATCCACCCACCTCAGCCTCCCAAAGTACTGGGATTATAGTCATGAGCCACCTCACCTGGCCTTTTTTTTTTTTTTTTTTTTTTTGAGTCAGGGTCTGTCATTAAGGCTGGAGTATAGTGGCACAATCATGGCTCATTGCAGCCTCAACTTCCTGGGCTCAAGCAACCCTCCCACCTCAGCCTCTGGAGTAGCCAGGACAACTGGAGTGTGCCACCATGCCCAGTTAATTTTTGTATTTTTTGTAAGGACGGGGTTTTGCCGTGTTGCCCAGGCTGGTCTCAAACTCCTGAGATAAGTGATCTGCCTACCTCTGCTTCCCAAAGTGCTGGGATTACAGGAATGAGATACCGTGCTTAACCTAGTCATGGTCTTATACCATCTCCATGGAAGGACTTGGGCTGCTTTTTTATGGCTGAGTAGAAAGGTGTTGGAAATCAGATCTTCAGTTTGAAGTCATATATAAGTTGTTTAGGGAGAATCTTGAGATAGAAATTATAGAGACTAAACTGTTCCTCCTTGTCCACCAGCCCATCTAAACTTTTTTTTTTTTTTTTTTTTTTTTGAGACAGAGTCTCCCTCTTGCCCAGGATGGAGGGCAGTGGTGCAATCTCGGCTCACTGTAACCTCCGCCTCCTGGGTTTAAGTGATTCTCGTGCCTGAGCCTCCTGAGTAGCTGGGATTACAGGCACACGCCACCATGCCTGGCTAATTTTTGTATTTTTAGTAGAGATGGGGTTTCACCATGTTGGCCAGGCTGCTCTCAAACTTTTGACCTCAGGTGATCCGCCTACCTTGGCCTTCCAGAGTGCTGGGATTACAGGCATGAGCCACCGTGCCTGGCCTAAACATTAAAAAAAAAAAAAACACCTGCTTTTTTGGCCAGGCACAGTGGGTCATGCCTGTAACCGCAGTACTTTGGGAGTCCAAGGTGGAAGATCTCTTGAGCTCAGGAGTTTAGACCAGCCTAGGCAACATAGGGAAACCCTGCCTCTACAAAAATCCAAAAACTAGCTGGACGTGCTGGCTCCTGCGCATGGTTCCAGCTACTTGGGAAGCTGAGACAAGAGGATCACGTAAGCCAAGGAGGTCAGGGGTGCAGTGAGCTGTGATCCTGCTACTGCACTCCAGCCTGGGCGACAAATAAAGAAAGAAGGGCTGGACATGGTAGCTCACCCCTGTAATCCTAGTGCTTTAGGAGGCCAAGGTGGGTGGATCACTTGAGGTCAGTAGTTCGAGACCAACCTGGCTAACATGATGAAACCCCATCTCTACTAAAAATATAAAAATTAGCCGGGTGTGGTGGTACGCACTTGTAGTCCCAGTGATTCAGGAGGCTGAGGCAGGAGAATCACTTGAACCTGGTAGGTGGAGGTTGCAGTGAGCCGAGATTGCAGCACTGCATTCCTGCCTGGGCAACAGAGTAAGACTCCATCTCAAAAAATAAATAAAATAAATAAACAAACAAATAAATAATATCTTTTTTTCAGATTCTAAATTGAAGAAAGTAAAAACTGTAACTCTACTACTGAAAGGATAACCACTGTTAATGTTGAAAACCTTGTTTATTTGAATAGCTGATACATGAACATGGCATGCAATTTTAAAAATCCTTTAGAATATACAGTAGTAAAAAGAAAACTCCCTTGACCCTAGCTGTTTAGTTTCTTTCTCAGCGGCAATTACTGTTGCACTGTTTAGATGTTCATATTTTGTTTCCTGTGCCTTCTCCTCTCCTCCAATTTTATTATGAAATTTTATAAGCACATATTTGCAAGCATTAGTCATTTGGAAGTAAATTACAGACTCAATCACATTTCACCCCAAGTGCTTTAGCATTCACCTCTGAAAATCATCATTCTCCTGTACTACCGCTATTTTATGAGTACAGCTAAGAAAATTTCCTCATGTCATCAATTATCCAGTTTATATTTAAGCTTCCTTAATTTGCTTCTTAAATGTCTTTTTGTTGTTTTGGAACCAGAGTCGAGTCAGAGTTTGTGCACTCTTTGCCTGTGCCTCAGAAATCTCTCATGCTTTGGAATGGTTCTCTCAACCTTTCATTTTAGACACTTTTTTTGTTTGTTTTTTGAGACGGAGTCTTCCTCTTTCACCCAGGCTGGAGTTCAGTGGCGCGATCTTGGCTCACTGCAACCGTTGCCTTCCAGATTCAAGCGATTCTCCTGCCTCAGCCTCCCGAGTAGCTGGGACTACAGGCACATGTTACCATGCCTGGCTAATTTTTTGTATTTTTTTAGCAGAGATGGGGTTTCACTGTGTTAGCCAGGATGGTCTCATCTCCTGACCTCGCGATCCATCCGCCTCAGCCTCCCAAAGTGCTGGGATTACAGGCATGAGCCATCGCGCCCAGCCGACACTGACTTTTTGAAAAGATCAGGCCATTTGTCTTGTAGAACATCCCACGTTCTGTGTTCATGTTAAGATTTCCATGAGGAAACCTTACTATATTCCTCTATATTGTATTGCTGTATTTCCTAGAAACTGGAAGATAAGTCTAAAGGCTTGTTTAGGTTCAAGTTAGTCTTGCTCTGTCGCCCAGGCAGGAGTACAGTGGTGTCCTCAAAGCTCACTGCAGCCTGAAACTCCTGAGCTTAAGCGATCCTCCTTCCTCAGCCTCTTGAATAGCTGGGACTATAGGTGCATGCCACCAGGCCCAGCTAATTTTTAAAGTTTTGGTAGAGGCCGGGCTTGCTGGCTCACGTCTATAGATTATAATCCCAGCACTTTGGGAGGCCCAGGCAGGTGGATCACAAGGTCAAGAGATCAAGACCATCCTGGTCAACAAGGGGAAACCCCGTCTCTACTAAAAATACAAAAATTAGCTGGGCATGGTGGCGCGTGCCTGTAGTCCCAGCTACTTGGCAGGCTGAGGCAGGAGAATTGCTTGAACCCAGGAGGGGGAGGTTGCGTGTGAGCCGAGATCATGCCATTGCACTCCAGCCTGGGTAACAAGAGCGTTTAAACTCCGTCTCAAAAAAATAAATAAATAAATAAATAAATAAAGTTTGGTAGAGACTGGGTTTTGCCTTGTTGTCGAAGCTGATTTCAAACTCCTGATTTCAAGCGATCTCCCTGCCTCGGCCTTCCAAAGTACTGGGATTACAGGTGTGTGCCACTATGCTTGGCCTGGGTCCTATTGTATAGCTTCTGATTGCTATACAGTAACTGCAGGAGGACTGTTTTTCTTAAGCCTTTGACCCAGAGCATTGGTTGTGCTCAGTCTCTATGGGGGCAGAGGAGCAATCTCTCCTCCCATTAGTTTGAGTACTGAAGGAGCATTCTTGTTCATCTCAATATCTTTATTCCTTTTCCTCTTCTCTTCATCCTGACTTTCCCTCTACTGCCTTGTCCCCTCTTCCCTTAGGTAAGTCAAATCTCATGGATGCCATCAGCTTTGTGTTAGGTGAAAAAACCAGCAACCTGCGGGTAAAGACCCTGCGGGACCTGATCCATGGAGCGCCTGTGGGCAAGCCAGCTGCCAACCGGGCTTTCGTCAGCATGGTCTACTCTGAGGAGGGTGCTGAGGACCGCACCTTTGCCCGTGTCATTGTAGGTGGGTGAGGCTTGCCAGAAGGCTCTCTTTGGGTCCTGGGAGGTGGCTAGACTAGTTGACTGGGACAGGAAGGAGGCCTGACCCTTGCCAACTCATGCATTGTTTTGTAGGGGGTTCCTCTGAGTACAAGATCAACAACAAAGTGGTCCAGCTACATGAGTACAGTGAAGAATTAGAGAAGTTGGGCATTCTCATCAAAGCTCGTAACTTCCTCGTTTTCCAGGTGGGCGGTTTTAACAGTTGTTGGCTATCTGGTTTTTGCCAGACCATGTCCCATCCCTACTGTGCCTGCTTCATCTCAGTTCTTATCATCTCTCCCTTGAACTAATGTAGCACCTTCTTCACTGAGCTTCCTGAGTCCAGTATGGCCTCTGAGCCAGGTTCATCTTATGAGGACACACATTTGTTTTGTTTCCCCTCCCTTTTTTCCTTAAAGCATTTCAGTGATTCCTTATTACCTTACAGTGGTGGTTCTTAAACTGTAGTCTCCACACCAGCAGTATCAACATTACCTGGGAACATGTTAGAAAATGCACATTCTTGGGCCCTGTCCTAGACCTCCTGACTTGGAAGAAACTGTGGGGTGGGGTAGAGCAGTTTATGTTTTACCAAGCTCTCCCGCTTATTATGATGCTGGCTGAAATTTGAGAACTGTTGCCTTAGGATGAGATCCAAATTCCTAAGCCTATCATTTGGGAAATATCATCATCGAAATCCAAATACCATCTGCATGCTCTTCTCTTCCAGCCTTGCACTGCAGCCTACTTAAACCATTTATGGTTCTGCAAATTCACCTGCTTTCTTTGACCTACAGGTCTTTGCATATTAATTTACCTCTACATGGAATAACCTTTTCTTTTTTTTGTTTTTGAGACAGAGTTTCACTTGTCACTCAGGCTGGAGTGCAGTGGCACGATCTCAGCTTACTGAAACCTCCACCTCCCAAGTTCAAGCGATTCTCCTGCCTCAGCCTCCCAAGTAGCTGGGACTACAGGCACCTGCCACCACACCTGGCTAAGTTTTGTATTTTTGCTAGGGACGGGGTTTCACCATTTTGGCCAGGCTAGTCTTGAATTCCTGACCTCAGGCGATCCTCCTGCCTTGGCCTCCCAAAGTGCTGGGATTACAGGCATGAGCTACCATGACTGGCCACCTTTTGTCTTTTATTTTCTTGGTTAATTTCCTCCCATCTTCCAAACTCAGCACAGATGTCACCTTTGGGAAGCCTTCTGAGATAGCTATCCCTGTCAGTCTCCTACCCCCAAGCTTCATTTTGTCCTTTTCATGTGCTCTTTCTGTTACTGCACGTAACACTGTGTTGTCTTTGTGTTTGTCGCTTCCCTTTGGCTCCCTGTGCTCCACAGAGGGCAAGGAATTTGTCCTCAAAGCCCAGTGTGAAATGTGGCACCAGGGGCGTGGGAGAGAACGTCAGTGAACTTTTTTGGATGAAGGAGTGGAAATGGGTAAGGTGAACTGGGCTGGCTGGGGTCTGAAGTGGAAGAGTGTTTCGACCTTTACTAGGGTGCTGTGGAATCTATTGCCATGAAGAACCCCAAAGAGAGGACAGCTCTATTTGAAGAGATTAGTCGCTCTGGGGAGCTGGCACAGGAGTATGACAAGCGAAAGAAGGAAATGGTGAAGGCTGAAGAGGACACACAGTTTAATTACCATCGCAAGAAAAATATTGCAGCTGAACGCAAGGAAGCAAAGCAGGAGAAAGAAGAGGTAGGTGGCCAAGCTACCTCTTGGATCTGAGGGACCAGGATGGAGCCAGTGCCTTATCGATGCACCCCTGCCACCATTCCCCTGTTTGCACAGGCTGACCGCTACCAGCGCCTGAAGGATGAGGTAGTACGAGCTCAGGTACAACTGCAGCTCTTTAAGCTTTACCATAATGAAGTGGAAATTGAGAAGCTCAACAAGGAACTGGCCTCTAAGAACAAGGAGATCGAGAAGGACAAGAAGCGTATGGACAAAGTGGAGGATGAGCTGAAGGAAAAGAAGAAGGAGCTGGGCAAAATGATGCGGGAGCAGCAGCAGATTGAGAAAGAGATCAAGTAAGAGGTGGACCTGGGCCTGCAACTTGTGGGAAACCAAGAGGCCGTGCTGTTCATTAGGGTTCCTCCGAGCCCGCTTTTTTCTCTGTTACTTTCCTGACTTGCTTCTGTAAGAACCAAGCCCATTTCTTGACTTGCAGTTTAGACAAATAGAATATTTAAGCAATCAGGCCCTCGGTAGACAGGTGCTCAGATGAGGGAGAGCTCAAAAGGGATGGTGGCCTTGCCAAGAAAGAGGAAGCAATGTGAGGCCCAGCCAATGGAATGGCTGGGAAGGCCTTCCTAGAAAAGGAAAACTGAAGCTAGAAGTTTAAAGGATAGGAATTTGAAAAGGTTAGATCAGACAGGGGCCAACTAAGTAAATACAGGATGTTCTTGGGAGTTGTTAATGAGTGTCCTGGCCAGGGTTGAGGCAGAGTTGGTAGCTTTTCCTTATGGAGTGGCTGGAATGCCAGGGTGAAGTCATACCTTCCAAAGAGTAGTCAGACTGCCCCTTTTTTTCAGTATCTGTGGGGCATCATACCCTTGTTCTTTAACTCCCTGAGGTTGGCTCAGGGGCTTAAGCTCCCCTTTGGGTAAAAAGCCTGGGAACCCTCCCTTCTTCCATAATGTTCACTGATTTCCCCCGCCCTTCTGGCAAAAGGGAGAAGGATTCAGAATTGAACCAGAAGCGGCCTCAGTACATCAAAGCCAAGGAGAATACCTCCCACAAAATCAAGAAGCTGGAAGCAGCCAAGAAGTCTCTGCAGAATGCTCAGAAGCACTATAAGAAGCGTAAAGGTGACATGGATGAGCTGGAGAAGGAGATGTTGTCAGTGGAGAAGGCCCGGCAGGAGTTTGAAGAACGGATGGAAGAGGAGAGTCAGAGTCAGGGCAGAGATTTGACCTTGGAGGAGAATCAGGTAAGTTCTGGAAGGGGTTGGCAGGGAGGAGATCCCTGGGCTGACATCTGCTGACTTGGTCATCCCTGTTCTCTTTCCCTGTCCCTAACACAGGTGAAGAAATACCACCGGTTGAAAGAAGAAGCCAGCAAGAGAGCAGCTACCCTGGCCCAGGAGCTGGAGAAATTCAATCGAGACCAGAAAGCTGACCAGGACCGTTTGGATCTGGAAGAACGGAAGAAAGTAGAGACAGAGGTGGGCTACAGTTATTATGGTTGATGGTCCACAGAAAAGAAGTACAGGTTGAGCATCCCAAATCCAAAATAATCCAAAATGTGAAAGATTTCTGATCCCAAGCATTTTGGATGAGACATACCCAATGTGTAATGATAGTCTTTTTCTTTTTTTTTTTTTTTTTTTTGAGACATTGTCTCATTCTGTTACCCTGGCTGGAGTGCAGTGGTGCAGTCTTGGCTCACCACAACCCCTGCCTCCCGGGTTCAAGCGAGTCTCCTGCCTCAGCCTCCTGAGTAGCTGGGATTACAGGCACGCGCCACCACGCCCAGCTAATTTTTTTTTGTATTTTTAGTAGAGCTGGGGTATCTCCATGTTGGCCACGCTGGTCTTGAACTCCTGGCCTCAAGTGATCCGCCCGCCTCCCAAAGTGCTGGGATTATAGGTGTGGCTCAGTGCCTGGCTGATAGTCTTAATGATAATGACAATAGCTCACATCTGTTGAGCACTTACTGTATGATAGGCAGTGTTCTTTACATGTATTTACTCATTTAATTCTTCATTTATGATTACTTTTATGGAATGGCTACGATTACCCTAATTTACAAATGAGGAAACGACGACACAGAGTAATTTGCCTAAGGTCACAGGGAGTTATTGTTATTTTTGAGACAGGGTCTTTTCTCTGTCATGCAGGCTGAAGTGCAGTGGTCCGACCATGGTTCACTGCAGCCTCGACTTCCCAGGATCAAGCGATCTTACTGCCAGAGCCTCCCAAGTATCCAGGACTATAGGTGCTTGCCACCATGGCTGGCTACTTTTTTTTTTTTTTTTTTGAGACAGAGCCTCACTCTGTTGCCCAGGCGGGAGTGCAGTGGTATGATCTCAACTCATTGCAACCTCTGCCTGCCAGGTTCAAGTGATTCCTTTTTTTTTTTTCTCAGAGGGAGCAGAGGCCTTTATTGGGGGCCATGGGCTAGCTGGTTTCAGTCAAAGGCCACACACTTGATCTTGAAGTTGCCGTCAGCTGCCATGTAGTTGATGGCCTCCAGGTTGAGGCGGTTGGGGAACTTGAATTCGTATCCACCTGGCAGCTTGATGGTCAGGTCTACCTGATACGCACCTCTGCGACGCTCCCAGGCTGGAAGGGAAAGGCAGCCTCCCGCTGCTCGGCCCCTCAGGCACTGCTGTCCTTGCTGTTGCACACGATGGTGTTGGCGTCCCCATGGGCGTTGAAGCGAGGGTTGAAGTGTAGGCACAACTTGTTGCTGTCTTTGCCCAGGTTCAGCACGAAGCTCTTGGCGTCAGGGACCACCTCGCCCTGCACTCAGAGGCACTCCCCAGGTTTGAGTTTCAGGTTGCTGGCCTAGAGACCACAAGCCATGATTGAGGGCAGGAGGATGTTCGCGGGACAGGCGCACCAGCTGTCTGAGAGCTTTTTTTTTTTTTGATACATAGTTTTACTCTTGTTGCCCAGGCTGGAGTGCAGTGGCGCAACCTCGGCTCACTGCAACCTCTGCCTCCTGGGTTCAAATGATTCTCCTGCCTCAGCCTCCCGAGTAGCTGAGATTACAGGTGCCAGCCACCAACCTGGCTAATTTTTATATTTTTAGTAGAGACAGGGTTTCACCAGGTTGGTCAGGCTGGTCTCGAGCTCCTGACCTCAGCTGATCCACCCTCCTCGGTCTCCCAAAGTGCTGAGATTACAGGCATGAGCCACCGCTACTAGCCCAGTTCAAGTGATTCTTGAGTCTCAGCCACCCAAGGAGCTGGGGTGACAGGTGGGTGCCACCACACCTGGCGAAATTTTTTATATTTTTAGTAGAGATGGAATTTCACTATGTTGACCAGGCTAGTCTTGAATTCCTGACCTCAAGTGATCCACCTGCCTCAGCCTCCTAATTTTTTTATTTTTGTAGAGACAGGGTTTTGCCTTGTTGCTCAGGCTGGTCTCAAACTCCTGCCTGCCTCAGCTATCTGCCTGCCTCGGCTATCTGCCTGCCTCAGCCTCCCAAAGTGTTGGGATTACAGATGTGAGCCACCGCGCCCCGCCACTCACATAACTATTAAATAGCAGAACCAGACCCTGGACAGTATAGCTCTAAAGCCCACACGCTTACCAAATATGCTTCATTTACTGCCTCCCTGATACCAATATTATAATAACAGTGATAGAAAGTTGTCATAGTGTCCCAGGAGTGTACAGTGTTCTAGGCATTCTGCTAAGCACTTTTAAATATTTAAAAGAATGTTAGCCAGGCATGGTGGATCACTTGAGGCTAGGATTTTGAGATCAGCTTGAGCAACAGTGAGAACCTGTCTCAAATTTTATTTTATTTTATTTTTTTATGGACTTACAGTACATTTTTTTTAATGGACTTGCAGTCCATTTTTAATTTAGTTTTTTTAT